CAGAAGCTTTCAGAAGCATCAAAAAGAAGCATCTAGAATCTTCCAGAACAGGTTCACACAGGTTTATTTTACTATATAAGAGACATGTAAACCGACATGTAATTCAGTCAGTATATGGAATTCAATCAGTCAGTATTATCAAGACAGTTTATCGGAGTTTTATCGAAGAACATCAATACAAGAAGTGAAATACAACAAGTGTTTCATTACATCAATACAGTCCACATCCAACCAAGACGTTGTGTTCCACAAAGCATTTTTGCATCATCACAAGGTAAATGTAACACGGTAAGCCTTGAGAAGCATGATTATTTATTTTTAGTATTTTTATGACTTCAAGTGCAAAAAAAGCTCCCGACAGTCTTGGATTGGAACTAAGAAAGAAAATTATTGGCAATTACGTAAGTGGAATGTCACAAAAAAGTATTTGTGATAAATATCGCGTGAAAAAATGGACCGTATCAAGACTATGTTCCAAATACCGTTCTACGGGGAAGTTGGTAGCAGATAACAAAGGTGGAAGACTGTGTTCCACCACTTCTAGAGAGGATTCTATGATTGTCAGATCCGTTAAAAAGGATCCCTGGATATCATCAATCGAGATACAAAAGCAATTAGAGCTGCCTGTATCGGATTGAACAATCAGACGACATGCTGTTGAAGCCCGATTGTTTTCTCGACGCCCTGCAAAGAAACCGCTGATTTCACTAAAGAACCAGAAAAAAAGACTCATGTTTGCTATATCTCATATTGACTGGAATGTGGAGAAATAGTGAAATGTCCTGTTCAGTGATGAATTGAAGTTCAACATCATTGGGAGCGATGGCATTTGCTGTGTACGTTGACCGGCCGGAAAATACATTAATTTACCTTACTGCTATAAGGCCGTGAAGCATGGTGGAGCAATGTAATGGTCTGGGGTTGTTTTTCTGCTAACGGTCTAGGGCCAATACATCGAATCGATGGAATAATGGACCGTTTCATGTATAAAAATATCCTGAAAGATGTTATGTTACCTCATGCTGAATAGAATATGCCAATAAAATGGGTTTTTCAGCAAGACAACGATCTGAAACACTGCAAAAGTAGTCAAGCAGTGGTTTCAAGACAACCACCTATCAGTGATGGATTGGCCGCATCAATCTCCGGATCTCAACTCTATCGAGAACCTGTGGAAGATTGTCAACCGCAGAATTAATCGTGAAGGTGTACATAATAAGGATCAACTGTTTGAACAAATCCAAAAGGCCTTGGCAGCGATTCCACTAAGTTTCATTGATCACCTGATTGAATCTATGCCTCGAAGATGCAAGGCTGTGATTGACAACAAAGGATTCACCACGAAATATTGATAGCGAAATACAGCTTGGTTATTATTTTGTGGAGTTGCACTTGTTTTGTCCAGGAGGAAATCAATTTTTTTTAACACTTTAGATTAATTTATTAATTTTCGTGTACAAAGAATGAACTTTGTGATGAATAAAACTTGAAGAACGTTGTCTCTAAACAATTACATAGTTATTTCTCTAAATTGAAAAATGCAGCAATTTTATATAAAGAAACTAAATTAGCATTATTTGGTTGCACTTGTTTTGTCAGATACTGTATATATATATATATATATATATATATATATATATATATATATATATATATATATATATATATATATATATATATATATATATACATATATGTATATATATATATATATATATATATATATATATATATATATATATATATATATATATATATATATATATATATATATATATATATATATATATATATATATATATACATACATATATGTGCATCTAATGCTCCTTACTTTCAAAAATTTAGTGGGGCCACCTTAATTCTGAAATTTGCAACAAGAGCCTAAACTCCAAAAAAAGAAAAAATTCAAATGTATGTCATGTTGGGTTTCAAAAGAAGCAGAATTTTATAAAAATTTCAAAAATAATTATTTATTATAATTAAAAACACTTCATAAAAAATTTAAACAAAAATAATTAAAAATTACACTGTTTTATATATTTTGTTAAAAAATGATAATTTTTATGCAATAAAGCATAAAATAATATATATATATATATATATATATATATATATATATATATATATATATATATATATATATATATATATACAGTAGCTTTCATAAATTTAGACTCTTTTTTTTTTTTTCCATATATGTGAGAAAATACTCAAAATAAAAATAAAAAAGTGCTACCGCTATGTTTTATATATAATTTAAAAAAGGAAGTAAAACTCTATTATAGAGTACCTTAATTTTTTTACAGGATGTTTATTACTCATTCTATAACACAAAAAGGTTAATTAATAAGCTTGATTTTATTTTGTTCATAAATTTAGACGCACAATCAAAAAAGTCTTATATCTTGTTAATTGATAGTTAATTAGTAGTTTTTTCCCATATTTCTCATTAATAGGCCTAAATTAATTGATTTTGTCAAAAAACCTTATATAAATATGACTTACCTGAAATTAGTTAATCATTATTTAATAAATAAACAAAAGTTAAGTTAGTTTTGCACTAAAAAGACGTGAAAAATGGGCAAAAGACGTATTACTCAAGGTGAAAGATGGCAAATTATTGCGCACATCAAAGAAGGAACCAAAATTAATAAAGAAATCGCGAAGTTAATTGGATTTTCTGAGAAATGCGTTCGGACAACGAAACAAAACTTTCTTCACACTGGTGGTGCCAGCGAGTAAACGAGGCCAAGTAGACCCTTGTCAACCACCAGAAAGGACGACAGTGTTCGTTTTAGAGCTGTCAGAGCTAATCCAAGAATTAGTTACAAAGAATTGACCACAGAATTCAATACAACGCGAAATACATCTATTTCTCAAAGCATAGTCTGCCGAATACTTATCAAATACAAGATTGGAGTCTACACTGCTTTGAAGAAACCGCTTTTGCGTCCATATGATAAACAAAGGAGACTAAAATGGTGTCGTGAAAGAAGGTATTGGACAGTAGAACAATGGGAAAACATTATGTGAAGTGATGAAAGTAACTTTGAGCTTATCAATCGCAAATCTAACATAACAGTCAAAAGAATGGCTCACGAAAAGTATTACGCCAGGTACATTAGACCGACTATACAAAGTGGAGGAGGCTCGATAGGAATCTGGTTATGCTTCAATTACAAAGGTGTTGGTATGTGCCAAACATACACCAGAAGAATCAACTCCAGAATATACGTAGAAGTACAGGAAAACAACCTAACTCTATCAATTGACCTGCTTATGCTCAATGATAAACCATGGAAACTTCAACAAGATGGCGCTACTGCACATACTGTATACTATACAAAGGAGTGGTTCAACAATAATAATATCATGGCAATACCGTGGCCACCATACTCACCTGATTTGAATCTGATTGAAAACGTTTGGGCTTGGATTGACCGTGAATTAGCAAAGGTTCAAGTTTCCACACTTGGTCAGCTGAAGGAATTCCTTAAGGAGACCTGGTATGAGGTCCTAGAAGTGATGTGCAAAAATCTTGTTGAGTCTATGCCTAGAAGAGTTTTTAGTTATTAAAGCAAAAAGCGGATAAACAAAATATTGATTGGTTCATAAATTACGCCTTCTAACGTATCGTGCGTCTAAATTTATGAATTATTTTTTTTGTCTAATTTTTTTAATACCATGTAGTTGTACCTAATTATTACTTAGTATTTCTTTTTTTTTTGTAAACTTTTTTTAAATTTTGTATTCTGTATGTATTTATCTAATAAATAGAAAAAAAAATAAACCGAAATCTTTTTTCGTCATTGTTTTATCATTAAAAAACTAAAAATTTCTATTCTCAAATATGAGTGCGTCTAAATTTATGAAAACCACTGTATATATATATATATATATATATATATATATATATATATATATATATATATATATATATATATATATATATATATATATATATATATATATATATATATATATATATATATATATATATATATATATATATATATATATATATATATATATATATATATATATATATATATATATATATATATATATATATATATTAGGGTGTCCCAGTTGCCCCTTTTATTCTAAAAAAGATATGTTCATATTCTTAAAACTTTCTATTGATTCTCAAAAGCAACTCGGTTAAATTTTTTCAAAATTTTATTGGATTTAGGGGAGCACAAGACTCATGAACACTTACCGGTCCCTAATATAATTAAAAAAACGTTTTTAAAAAGTATGTCATGTTGGGTCTTAAAAGAAGTGAAATTATATAAAAATTTCAAAAATAGTAATCATTTTATTAAAAAATTATTATTTTAGAGTTTATTGCAATAAAAAACTTTTTATAACTAAAAATAAAAGAAGTGTATTTTTTTATAATAATTCCCAAAAAAATTTAAAAAAATAAACTTAAATAATAATTTTTTTATAAAATGATTGTTACTATTGAAATTTTTATATAATTTCGCTTCTTTTGAGACCCAACATGACATACTTTTGAAAAACTTATTTTTTATAATATTAGGGACCCGGTAAGTGTTCAAGGGTATTGTGCTCCCCCTAAATCCAATAAAATTTTGAAAAAATTTAACAGAGTTGCTTGTGAGAACCAATAGAAAGTTTTAAGAATATGAACAGATCTTTTTTAGAATATAAGGGGCGGCTGGGACACCCTAATATATATGTGTGTGTATATACATATTTATATATATATATTTATATATATATATCCATGTTTATTTTAATATCTTATATATTTAATATTATATAGCAATGTTTATTTTAATACATTTTAATATAATTTTATTAAAATTTTTATATATATATTGTATTTATTTTAATTTATTTATATATTTTTCAATATGTTATTTTTTCTTCTTATTCCTCCATTTTTTAATATTACTAATAAATTTCTGTTTCTGTTGCATTTACACTTAATAAAACTTTTTTTTTTTAATTTTAAACACTTTTTACAGATACCAGCAGAATTTCTGTCAGAAGTAAAACAGTACTTACAGAAAAAAGACAAGGTATTAATTAATTTACTAAATTGCAATCTCTAAATATTCAAAGAGAATATTGATGATGATGATGATGATGATTTTGTATTTCTAAGGAAAAAGATGCAGAAGTACCAATGGAAAAAACATTTTGTCAGCAAGTTGATCCCAAACAGTTTCGTAAAAATGCTAAAAGTAACACTGATGATGCATTAATGCTTCTATATGCTCATATGATGGATCTTCCTGATGGAGAAAAGAAACGAGAGTTTATGGAGAAGGTAAATCTAATAAAATGATCTAGATTATTGTAGAGTTGTAATAGCATTTTTTTTTTTTGTAAATTTATTCTTTTGTTATTTATAATTTTTCCATTTAAATTATTCCATCTCCCTCAATCATCTTTTTAGTATTGTAAAAAATATTTCAGAATACTAAATACTGACTTCAGAATCAAAAAGTTAGAGATTTGATGTCACTTTTCCAAATAACATTTATTTTTACCATGACTACCACTGCCTTTGATGGGTTTAAAATTAAATGATAAAAGTTTTTTTGGCTAAAGGATTACAATTATTAGATTTCAAAACTATATATAAAAAAAACATATAGGTTATTTATATTTTGTTTTGTAATATAATGATTGGAATCATTTGGACAATATAACATATTAACATTTTAATGATTGGAATCATTTGGACTATATATTATCTATAGTTAAATTTAAGTATAAGTTTAAATTCTTAGTTGAATTTAAGAATTTAATTTAAAAAATAAAAACTAATTATGATTTTTTTCAACTAAAAATGAATTGAACGATACTTGAACGATACTTGAACGATACTTGATTTGAACTCTGGAACAAAGTGTGTCATAAGAAACACTTTTAGATTTATTGTTCTTTTAACTTTACTTTTTATTTTTATACCACTGATTTTTTATTGATATTTATATTCTCTGTTGTTTTTTTTTATAATATTTAAATTAGCAATGTTTTTTGTTTTAAAATATTTATTGATATAGAAACTGAGTTTAATTGCTTGTGGTTTTTGTTATTGTTTTAGTTTAAAGAAAGCTATCCGGGTACCCCTTTGTTCATACCACTGTCGGTTCAGGTAAAAATATTAATTTTTCAGTCATAAGTGAATGATAACTTGATTTTTTTTTCTTTCGGTTTTTTCGGTTTTAGAATAGACGAAAAGAATATATGAACTCAACTGATAATATGAGTCCTGCTACACCATTATACTCTTCAAAAACAACTGTTATTCCTTCAAAAAGTTTTCCTATGAATGGGAATTCAACAGAAGAGTGTTTAAATTTGTTAACAGTTACACCTGTTTCTAAAGATATACCCTCGCAAGCCTCAAGTACTCCAAGTACGCCTGGTGCTAGAATGAAACTTTGCTTGAAAAGATTACGAAGAAGAAGTGCCGAAATTTTCAAACCTAAAGCTCCTAAAATACCTACACCAGAAAAACCAGAACCACATTTACCTGTGCTGTTAAGAATGAAAGAAGCTTTTAAGAGAAAAGTACCTTCAGCTAATAAAGTACTGAAAAAATCTGTAAGCACACCTATAATTTCACGCAAAAAACAAAGTCTTTCAGAAACTGATTTGACACCCAATAATGACAGAATCAAAAATGGGGAAAGTGCACTATTTAGTGAAGGGAGAGTGTTTAATAGAACTTTAGAGGAACTTCAACCTCCTGACGGTGGTCCGATTCGCTTTCAATTTGGAAAGCAAAATGAAGAAGCCGTTACCTTTAGTAGCAACCATGTTGTGAATGACCAAAGTAAGTCTCTTGAAAGAACTCCTCTTATACGTAAAAGTCTTTACCCAGACTTAAAAAATAAAGTTGATAATTTTACAGACAGATTTGGTTCAAAGATTAAACCTCAAAGAGATATTTGCCATACAGTTTTAAAACCTCCGTTTTCTTTAAAACCTCCTATAATCGATTCTGATTTTGATTGTTGTGATATATTGAATGGACTTACATTAGAAGATAATAAATTTTCTATAAACGAAGCATCTTATGCAAAATTTAAGGAGCGCAGAAGCTATAGAAAGTTAGCTGGTTTAACAAACGACGAAGTTGGGGAACTACGAAATTGTGAGTTAAATAACGATTCAATGGTTTCTTAACTTTAGATCCAGGTTTTTTGTTTGATAAAATAAATGCCAAGGTAACTTTTTTTTTAATTTTAACCGTATTATTTTGGACTTTATAGGATTTTTTGAAATTAAAGACCGCTTTGAGTCATTTACGATTTCTTTTGCAAATCATGACGTTTCTTATATGTGTATGATATATGCTTTGAACATATTTATTGCGATAAAAAAAAATTAAAATATTACATCGTAGATGTATTTAAACATGTTTGGATGATATTTATATTGTTTCTAATTATTTTTTGAATAATATACTTGAAAGGCGCTTCAGAATAATAACAAATCTGTAAATAAAACCTACATATGAAGCAACTTTTTTGTGTTTGGGATGTTGTTGTTTAAAAAAATCTTTCGTTTAGTCGTCGTTAAATGCTTAACAGTGTTTGTCGTAAAAAATTCGTTAAAGCCATTTTTCGGTCTTGTGCTCCTTGCAAGTATACATTGTTTTTATTGCAGTTTTGATGTTTATATATATATATATATATTTTTATATATATATATATATATATATATATATATATATATATATATATATATATATTTATATATATATATAAATATATATATATATATATATATATATATATATATATATATATATATATATATATATATATATATATATATATATATATATATAAATATGCACTCACATATATATATGCACTCACATACATATATATATATACATATATATATATATATATAAATATATATATATATATATATATATATATATATATATATATATATATATATATATATATATATATATATATATATATATATATATATATATATATATATAGTTGGTATAAGTTTGCGATTTTAATGAAACATAAAACTGTTAAAGTGTTTAGATTTAAAACTTTCTTCATCTCTGTTTTAACTTAAAATTTAAAAAATAGTATTGTAATAAATAGATTATAGTAATATATTTTAAATATAAAACGACATTAGATATATTTATAAAAGCTATTTATGTAAGGATTATTTATATAGATGTTTTACAAAACCGAAAAGTTGTATTTTTTTTTAAATAGATTTTTAAAATACTTGTAAGTCAATAACTGTTAACGTTTGCAGTTTTACATGTATATTTCAAGTTAACGTCAGCAGTTTTGCACGCATTCAACTGAAAAGAACCAAACAATATCATGAAATTTTATTGCCATTGAATTCATAAGTTTTTCATGTTTATTAAAAAGAAACCAACTGCAATATCCACTGCTTATGTGTTATATAGTTTTAAAATGTTGGTTTTATATGCTTTTCAGTTGTAAATTATTTTTTTAATGTCATTATTAAGATTTTTGTAGTTGGTTCTTTTCTGTTGAATGTCGTCCATTTTAAGTTAACGTTTGCAGTTTTAAACGCATATTTTAAGTTATTTGTGTTCTAGATCCCATTTCTCTACTGTAAGTTTTTTCATATCAACGCCTCATTTTATTAAGTAACGATGGGCCCTCATTGATTGTAGTATCTAAAATAAACTTATGAAGTAGCACCCTCATTAAGAGCGCTACTACATTAGAAATGTAATCCTTCATAAAAAATCTTGCCAGATTCAATATTTCCATTAAATAATCACATTAAATTGTCCAATGCACTAATTTTGAAAGAATGGTTTCCCAATTACTGTAATTTTGATGAATTTTCATGATTCTTATATTTTTTTATTACAATTGCATTATTTTTAAATGTTTTCAAAAATGATATGATATGGATTATAAATGCTTAATTATGGAAAGCAAGGATTACTTAGTTTTTGTTGGGAAAAAAAATGCATTTCAAAAACAGAAAAAATGTTGGAAAATTTGTTTGTTTAAACCTTCTTTAAGTATTGTTTGGTGTATGCTTAGACACCTTCCACCGCGGCGGAAGGTGTTTTTTTTAAACAACCTTCGTTCTTCCAAATGTGTTCTGCCTATAAAATTTTGCACTAATTTCATGGGTCCTTAACATTGCGCTAACTTCATGTATCCTTAACAACCTTAAGTTGATGCTCACTGGAAATTAATTTCTTAAAAGAACTGTTTTTAAACTTTTCTCCAAGTTTCAGGTTTTATGAAAGTTCTGCTAAACAGACATCTTGCAGAACTTCCTTGTTCGATTGCAAGAGGTTTCCATGAGCAAACTTAGATCTGTTCCATTACAATTTTCTATGTTATCTATTTGTATAAAAGATCACTGGATCTCTTGGTTCCTTCTTGTATTTCTATCATGTCATGATGTATTTCTCTTTATGACATGATGAAGATTTGATAATCATCATAACATGATAACCAGATTTGTGTTTCAAACCTCTAATCCAAGTTTTGCTCTCTCACTCTAAGTGCTTCATTCTCTACAATTTCATAGTTTTTCTGACCATCTATGAATTGAAAATGTTTATTAAGTAAACATTTACGCCTCCATTTATTTTTTTTTAAAATAGTGAAAACGATATTGCTGTTTCTGATCTTGCACTAGTTTGATACCTAAGAAAAAGCAGAGTATTTCATTTTTTAGACGTAGTATTGGAATCCTTTTTCTTTAAAATTTAATTACTGTATTTATTGAACACTTAGCTTTTCATCACAGATCATGATAGATCCACTTTACTCCAGAGAGTATAGAAATATTGGTAAAGCTTGCTTCAAAAAACAATTACTGTGAAACTAGAATGTTATTTTTATTAAATTTTAAAACAAAACAAGGCGTTTTTAAATAGGTTTTGCTTTTACAAAAAACGCATTCAAAGTTACCCCATTTGCGGGGTAACTTTGAATGACTATTTAAATTAGTATTATACAAAATACTTTTATTTAAATATTATTTTGGATTTGTGTAAAAGTCAATTTTAGCCCATATATTCACTTTGTTAAATTTCAAATATTGTCAATATTGAAGGAAGAACAAGTAAAAATATCTCAAAAACGTTCAAAGTAACCAAAGTTCAAAGTTTTACGGTAACAAAAACTTCAGCGACATATATAATCATAATCTTTGTATAGCTTTTGATAACTAAACCTTCAACGAGGAAAAAATGGAACGAGAGTTGATGCAAACATGCGAAATGATCAAAAATGCTGCTTTATTAGCATTTGCGCAGTGCTTTGAACAACGAAAAACCTGTATATATTCAAAACCGTGGTGGACAGCAGAACTTAAAAAATGCAGAAAACATCTTTCATTTAACTTTAAACAATGGCAAAAATCTAACTATGACAAATCACACGAATGCATAGCATACAAAAGATACACCCTTGCACGTAAAAACTTTCGAAAAGCGGTTAAAGCAGCCCATAACAAAAAAATCCATGAAAAAACGTTAAATATTGAAAATCTAAGAACTAAAAATCCTCAAAAGTTTTGGGACAATATTCATAAAATCAAAACCAAAGCAAAAACTCGTTTATTTACGATTAATAATTCGCAGAACATAAAAGATATCGTTAAAGAGTTCAAACAACATTTTCGAACTCTATTCAATACGCCGCTCATTACAAATAACAACCATAATCCCCTTAAAATTCCGCCTCTAAGTAATGAGCCTAATTCACTAATAATTAACTCAGCTGATATTATAAACTGCATATCACAACTAAATAATAATAAGTCTTCAGATAGCTTTGGGATAACTTAAAACACCTTAAAAACTGTCATAATAACAATCTTTTTTGTGGCTCTCTAAATTTTATAACAGCATTCTAACAAATGGAAAGGTACCAAAAGATTTATCAACTTCAATATTTATTCCACTTGTTAAGTCATATAAAAAATCTCTTAATAATCCAGATAATTACCGTGGAATTAGTATTTTACCTATCCTTGCCAAACTTTTAGAATATCTAATTTTACTTTTATGTCCTAGTATTAAAGATAGCATTTCCGTTTGGTTTTAAAAAAAAATAGCTCTACGCTCCACACAGAATTTTTATCGAGCGAAACCATTCAACACTATAATAACAATAACACACCTTTATATATGTGTAGTCTAGATGCAAATAAAGCGTTTGATACTTGCAACTGGGATATGCTATTTGAGAAGCTCTATTTCCAAGAAAAACTTCTTTTATCTGTTGTACACGCAATCACATCGCAATATCGTTCTGGTCTATTTTATCGCCATATTTATATAGCATCTATACCGAAAACATCTTAAATGAAATAGCCTCAGAATGTAAAGTAGGATTGACGATAAATGGCATCTATACTGGTGTCATTGCATACGCAGATGATGTAATTTTGCGTATGCAATGAAAAAAAAAGTCCAACAATCTCTGGTCTGCAAGAACTGATTGACAGATTTCAAACATATGGAATATTAAATTTTATCAAGCTAAACAACGAATATTAACGAAACTTATATACATCTCCAAAATAATTTAAAACATCTGAGTTTCCAATGGGATAACGACACTAACAAAAACATAATCGTGACACTTCAAAAATCAAATCTAAATGAACGTATAACGCAGTTTCAATCGGTTGCAATACCTCTAATTGACAGTGGAATACGTTTTATTCAGCCAGTATACTCAGTCCATGTATACAATACCTTGACATTGCTCAAGCTTATATATGGCCTTGAGCTGTGCAACAGTTTTCTAAGGAACATAGACGCTATTGGAAGAACAGTTTTGAAATCATTTTTTTGTATTTTAAATTATAGCAGAAATTACCTACATTATTTTTTTAAAATAGAAGATATTTCAACTACTCTTCTTCGAAATAAAGTAAACCTATTAATTAGGCTAATGAAAAATTAAACTTGCTATTCGCTGATAATTTGTCAATTACTGGCAACACAAAATAAAAAAACATTTATAAACGAAGTGATTGTAAAACTCGTGGCTTGAACATCTTTCAATGCGCGATAAAAGGTAAAAAAATTAAATTCACACTACCTCAAGAAGAACTGCAGGCTGATACTATACCAATATTAAAAGAAGCGTTCCAATTAAGGAACTTAAAAAATTTAAACCAATGACGGAGGAGAATATTTCCAAAATAGATCTAACAGTCTAGTCGGTCTAGTTATTGGTATTAAAGACAAATATTAGGAGAGCCAAGACTGGCCTTAATTTAATTTGTAACTGTTTAATGCAAATTAATTTACCTGTAATATTATTATTGGGTGTTTAATAAAAAAAAATAATGAAAAATAGTACAATCCCCCCAGACTTGTAGATATTAAAATGTCATAAAAAAGTAGAAATCGGATCTTGAAGACTTTTTAGGACACAATATTTACGATTAAGACAAAACAACAGATCACCCATAACGTATAACGCAAACTTCTCTAAAAAGGAACATAATTTACCAGACTATTTTTGGAATCTGCAATGATTAAAACAAGTAATAAAGCAAAAAAAAAATAAATAATAATAATGGTATGACCTACCTAATATTTTACCTAGCAAAATATTACATAAAAATAAATGTTTTGAATGTAATATTCACTCTATATATAATAGAGTAATAGAATAACAAATGTGGTTGAGGGTGGGTGTGAACACTTAAGAAAATCATAATACAAAATGTAGAGAAATTTTATTTCGTTATTTATTTATTTGCCATTCTTCTATCACGTTCATCAGCAATAGTCAATCTGACTCCCTTTCCGCGAGGTAAACTAACCAACGGTTTAGAACCTTTTCCAATCAAAAAAATGTTAGAAAGTCGAGTAGCAAACTGGTTTCCAGTGACATCTTTAACATGGACAATATCATAGGAACCTTAAGGAAAATAAAATTATAATAACAAAAACTCTACAGTAAAACTCTAAATCTTAAAAGAATAAGTTTTTACTTGGATGTCTCTCACGGTTAGTTATTATTCCAACTCTACCAGTGTTGCGACCAGCAGTTACCATAACAAGATTGCCTGTATCAAACTTAATAAAGTCAGTTATTTTTCCGGTCTTAATATCGACTATAACAGTATCGTTTACTTTAATAGATGGATCTGGATATCTTATGGTTCGCCCATCATGGGTAACAATGTATGGAATCGAGTTTTGACCAACAGCACTTCGCTTTACTTTAGCTAATTTATACTAGAAATGAATTAAATACTTTAATAAAAACATTTTATAACAATAATCAGACTGAAAAGACAAATTATTTTTAAACATATACACATTATTCATTAACATAATACATATACATGCATATCCATAGAGAATAGCTACAGCTTATATTTAATAAATTATACTTTAAAATGTATTTACATATTAAATAATATAGTGTTGAATATTATACTTACAGCAGATTCTTCAGCGCTTATTCTGTTACAAACAAATCTACCTTTGACATCATACAACAGACGGAAATTTTCATGTGTCCTTTCAATTGAAACAACATCTGAATAACAAAAGTTTTGTTGTGTTTTATAATACAACAATTGGTTTTGAAATCATAACTGAAAAACGAATCAGAAAAATCGAGAAAAAAAAAAAAAAAAAAAAAAAAGTTAAATTTTACAAAAGTTTTATTTTATAAATATAGCATAGTGATAAAATCAATTTTGTTTTTTTATACTTTATTATAAAAAAAAGAAAGGATAAACAAAGATATCACAATAAAAAGTACAATAATGCATGAAGGTATAATTACTGTAACTGTAAAAAGCTGTAATAACTTTTAAAGACCAACAAAACATTAAAAGTAATAATCTTGAAAACATTTTAATCAACAAGTCTTCTTCAAATATCAGTAGAAAATACTTATTTGAAATAGCAAATAGTACTAAACTTTAAACCAAAACTTAATCACTTTTAAAAGTTGTAACTGTTACAAAAATCTGGAAGCTGTACTAAATTAAAAGCAATTGAGACAAAACACTAATAGATTTTCGTGGTCAAGTATGATCAATGTCATAAATTTTGTGATGATGAGTTAACTACTGTTTAACACATCATCATATTACAGTTTAACAATTCAAACAAAAATAATAAAAACGAATTTATTAATGCATGTACTAATTTATTATATGCTTCACCTGATTTTTTTTAAGTGAAGATTTTAAAATTAGACTTTAACTCAGTTTCCAAAAGATTATAAGGCAAAAAATAGTGACTAAAAAATATCAGTAATATTATTCTTGTATTATCTTGGGTCAGTATTTAAAACAGCAAAATGAACTATAAACAGCATTTTATGTCTTTAAATATATATATATATATATATATATATATATATATATATATATATATATATATAAAATATACATCACTAACAAAAATAATATAAAAAAATGTAAAAAAAAACTTACCTAAAATTGCACCATTTGATTTAAAATTAATTTTTACATAATTACAAAGTTACTATATCTACTAGTTTTAACTTATACTATAACAAAATCTATTAACTCATATGAATATGTATTAATTGATATGTATATGTTTATAAGTGAGTGTGTGTTTATATATATATATATATATATATATATATATATATATATATATATATATATATATATATATATATATATATGTAATGTGCGAATTCGTTATAATAAAATGTTTAAGTTTTTTTTACCCATAAATCCTGCTGGATAACATATATCAGTCCTAACTTTTCCATCAACCTTTATGAGGCGCTGTTTCATAATTTTAGTAACTTCAGCGTAGTTTAATGCATACTTTAATCTGTTTCTCAAGAACACAATTAATGGCAAGCATTCTCTCAATTTATGTGGACCAGGTGAAGGACGAGGAGCCTAAATGATTGATAACGTCAGCAGACTGAGTTGAAAATCAATTTTGCATAGGGAAATTTAAAAAAAAGAATAGGAAAATAATAATTCTAGCAAATAAAGTACAGCAACTCAATAAGAACTGCAACTATAAAAAATAAAAACAAATATTAAGTTTAAATTTTCAACTTACAAAGTTTCCACTCAACTTGTCCAACATCCAATGCTTAGGAGCATTTAGCCGCTTGAGGTGCTTCTTTGGACCTCGCGTCTAATAAAGAATAAACGAAATTGATAGCAGTTAAAAACGCCATTTGTATATAAAACGTAACTGAGATGGTTAACAAACTGATTCGTTTGATAAATTATGATGTACTATATTCCCTCAAATTATAATTTCTCACCATCTTGGCTATCCTCTTGGTAAAAGAACAATTTGCTTCGCTTTACCAAAATAAAAACAGCTCATGAAATCGAAGCAAAGAGTTTTAAGTCATAGCTCAAAGCTACCTTACAAGCTTTTTATTGTGCGCATTATTATTTTTTGTTTTTGGCGATTTACTCTTAGGGGGCCTGCTAAGAATAAATCGCCAAAACACTGAATCACTTTAAACAAACAAAGTTGAAAAAAAATTAATTATATTTCTTTTCATTTATTTATTATATTTAGTTAAAGCCCTAAAATTTACAAATAATATATACATACAGGGAGTTGGGAAAACACCCCACTATAAACGATCAGTTTTATAAATATTTGAAGAGTACACGGGAAAAAACTGCAAAGTCATATTTAAAAAGTTTTGAGAAAGAATATATTGATCATTTAGATAAGTCTTCAGAGAAAATAAAGAAACCTAAAAATTAGGAAAAAAAAACATTTCTAGATTAATTTATCTTAAGTTAACAATTTTAATAAAATTTTTGTAAATTTAATTAAATTTATTTTTTACCTATTTTTATACCAAGACTTTTATAAATGATCAATATATACTTTCTCAAAACTTTTTAAATGTGACTTTGCAGTTTTTCCCGTGTACTCTTCATTTATTCTGAAATTTTTCTCCAATCTGAAAGTCTACTGTGGCGTAAAAAGTTTGTTGCTCAGTAAATCATTTCAGAAACTTAACGATCTGTTACATGATTGGTTGTGTCTTGGATGACAGTTTTGAATATACTAACGCATTATTTTCAAATGGTGATCTTGTGACAAATAGTTAATAAGTTTTGCAAGATATATTTTTTTTATTTGTTAAAGTAAGCAATAAAATTTGTACATAAAAGGTTTTATATTAAGGAAAGCAACACCAAACTTTCCAAACTGACAATAGCTACATCAACGCGTAGCCGAAGCAGCATTTTAAAGAATTAACTGTTGGTGCATCAACTACATCAATAATTCATTATAAATTCAATCAAGGATATATCAGTTTAAAGATAGCAAAGATAGGCTGCATATTCAGGGTGTGGACTTATAAACACATTATAGAATTTCAGAGGCCTACTTTCATTGATGTAAGTGCATGCCTTTTTTACCATGCAAAAAATTTTCATGCTTTAGGTTAGATGCAAAAATGACTCCTAAACCATGCTGATTTTTAAAAAGCAAGTTATTACTGTTAACAAGCCATAAAATTTTTTTGCTGGTTTTTTAGTATACTTTGCATGCAACTTAGGTTAGCGAAACAACTCGATATTTTTTACCAAGAAATTTTTTTTTCATAAACTAATATTGGCTAATTTCCGTAGAGAAAGTACTATTTTAAAGTTAAAGGATTCTGAAAAGACTTTTGAAGCGGAACTGCGCGGCTTTTGGTTCATATCTTAAAGTATTTAAAAGTGCAAGCCGTCAAAAGTTTCAAATCGGAATTCCAATTGTCTGTGGTTTTGTCCAAGTTTTCATTGTAAATCCATTCAGATTTAAATGACAACTTCCATCTGACGATGGAAAATTTTCAGAGATTTTCAGCGAAAAAAGAAATTTGATTTAAGAGTTCGTAATATTAACTATATCAAGAAAAGTTTCAATAGCTTTGCCTGAAGTATTATTTATAAAACGCATTTAATTTTTAGTTGTTTATTAATGTATTTTAATATATTTACAAGTTCTAGGATTTCGATATTATTTTTTTCATTTTTTTGCTTTAAATATTTCAGCTTTAACATTTTTTCCCAGCAATAGACACCTAAAAAAACATTTATGATTTGAATAATACAAAATAACAATATACTTTTAACCATAGTTTGACTTACTTGGTTGCACTGATATTGGAAATAAATTTATCTTTTAAAAATACATTTTTCTTCCAATCAAGGCAACTGAAATTAAAAATAGAAATTCTTTAATAAACACAGTAAAGTTAATAAATTGATTAAAAATGATTTTGATCTTTACAGTGAAAATTTAAACAGTTCATTCAAAAATTACAATAGGATTAATATTACCCTGGCAAACTGAAGTTCTACAAACAAAAATGTGAATAAAAGCTTCAAATGTCATGACGTTCTCTTAATATATTTTATTATTATTATTGTTATTATTATTGCTATTACTATTATTCAATTGGTATATATATATATATATATATATATATATATATATATATATATATATATATATATATATATATATATATATATATATATATATATATATATATATATATATATCAATTGATATGGGTTGTCCATAAATTACGTCACGCTTGGGGGAGGAGAAGGAGGTGATTTTGTGACAATATATTACGAGGGGAGGGGGGCGTTCCGATTTTGTGACAACATTTTTTTTTTTAGTTTTTAATCTAGCGTATACTTTCTTTTAATTAAAAGATCTGACCAAACCAAAACCCTCAGTTGATGTAAAATCAGCTGCGCCTAAATCTTACTTTGTTGATATGTATACTCCGTTAACGGAGTAGTTGCTTTTAAACTTGTGTTGAATTAATTTAAAACTAAAAAAAAAAACTTGCATATTTTTGGTAATTTTTTTGTAATTAGGTTTGACCCCATTCACAGATAATGTTTTATGTCTAAGCATTTTTAAATGCAAGTAAGTATTTTATACCCAATGTTTTGTGTCTAAGCATTTTAAATGCAAGTAAGTATTTTATACCCTCTCACTTTGAGTTCAAGTTTTTATGTTATTTTTATATGCCAAAAAATATTATTTAAAAAAAAAAAAAAATTGCGAAAAAGGTTTGCCAATAATGAAATTTGCTATTTAATCATGGTAGAGTCAATATCAAGAACTAAAAGAAAGAGCGGATCAAAGCTTTCGGAAGATATAGTTTCTAGAACAGATTTTCTTGTATCGGAGTTACAAACGCCAAGAGATCTTCTTAGATATGGTCTGTTTTTACAAGAAAGAAACAATAAAAATTGAAAAAAAAATTATCCGAAAAAATACTTAATGAACCAAGTTTACTTAAAGTAGATTGGATCCACGCGAATGCTTTATTTGTATATCCTGTAACACACATCGAACATTATGTTGTTGTGAGATAGGCGGATGATTGAAATGCAGCCAACCTGGCTGCTAGGGAAAAAGTAAGCTTAGAGGATAAAAATTTATGGCTAAACTTGACAAATTGTTTGATATACCAAATTGCAATTGCCAAATTATTACAAATTATTAGAAAAATTGTTCGTCAGAATGTAACGATGAAACCCATATTAACTGCACGTGCGAAAAAAAAAAAAAAGATTGCAAAAAAAGTGTTAATTTTTATTTTTGGGCAAAGAAGAAAAAAAAGAGCTAAAATAAGGACTACATTACCATATACCTTATACCATCAAATTGGATTAGCAAACTAGAAAACAAAAAGCTGGAGAAAGAAAAAGAAAAAAAATGAAGAAAAAAGATTGATGGAAAAAGAGAGATTTTTTAAATTAGTTATGTTTTTAATTAATTATTAGATAATAAATAAAAGTTAATTAAAATCCTATATAAAATTAATTTTAGTTATATTACAAATACTTGCTTGTTTCCACTTAAAACTAACAAAATCTAATTAAATTCAAGACAAACTTTTGACATACAACCATTTGTATTTTACTTATGTTGAGACATAAAAGATAAAATTTACATAATTTAAACTACTTGTACTTTACGTATTTTGCAAAACATTATTTAAGGAAAACTTAATTACTTTATCTATAGTTAAAAGCGTCTGAAGAACTTTAACAAACAAATAGAAGTCAGGAAGCAAGTTTTAATTTGAATTTATTGAAACAGCGGAACTATTTAGTAGCAAATGTTGCATAACAAACAGCAATACTAAACTCAATCTAATGTGTCAACAAAATAAAGTTAATGAACGTTTACGAGGACAAAGGAATTCTGAAAGTATTTTCAACATAGCTTTAGCTATCATTCAATATAATACAGGCTTACGAAAACAGCTGCAATTACGATAGCAGCTTGGATAGATGCAGGAATAGAAGATAATATAGAATAAATGATACACTATTATAAACAATATATAACAGAAGACGATATTAAGTTAATGATCACAATTGTCAAGCGAGCTCAAGAAAAAATTATGCAGTTCCTTTTTAAAGAGTTTAACACTTTATGCAGGATTAGCATTTTTAATTGTTTTTTTTTTGATGGAAGAACTGATAATACAAAAGTTCAATAGTTAAAAGTTCGACTAAATATTATCCTGTTACAATCAAAGAGGAACTGAAGTAATTGCTCAGAATATATATGAATCTCTGAAAAACAATGCTACCGATAAAAGCTTAAAGGCGATAGATGATGATTCTACTAGTGTTAAAACATGACGGAGCAATATATTGGCTTGAAGTGAAATTAGAAAGAAAGCTAAAATGGCTGGTTTGCACACTCTATACAAATGAGCTTCCTCTGTGTTATCTGATGACAACTCTTGATGAAGAGACTCTGATCAGCAACAAATGGAGAGGCTGTCTTGAAAAATTATTGAATGACGTAATTGCTCTAGAAATTAATCTATCCTTTCAAAAAATAGATGTCGAAAATGAAATCCTCTTATTACGCTAAAGGATGAAGTAATCAAAACTTTATCCTCCAATCAGTTTTATAGACATAAAATAGTCTGAAGTGGATATATACCTGCAGACTTGGCTTTACTTGGAATTGGGCAAGTTATTCATTCCAGATGGTTGTCAATTGCCAACCGACTTTGCAGAGTTTGGGTCACAAAACAATAGTTGGATGGCAAGAATTTAAAGAACATTAAATTAATAATTAAGTTCGCTGTAAAAATTTACATGCTTATGTGGTTTAAAATTAAAGCTGAATACAGGTTACTGAGACACATTCCTTACCAGCTTAGCTTTCTGAAACATCAATAAAATAAGGTAGTTAAAATTTTTATGCTAACAATTCAACGTTTAGCGTGGTATGCTTTCTCTGAGTCCCTCATACAGGCCATGCTCTGCTTAGAGAATGTTGAGGTAAGAAAGAACGGGATAGAGTTAATTGTAAAAATCAGAGACCCTGGTAAGGAAAAAACTTCAAACCGGTGAAAAAATGTGAGAGGTAGAATAACTCCAGT